AAAAATACGAAGGGTCAGGAATTGCTGAGCAGCCTTTGGGGAGGCTGGCTGCGTCCTGCGAGGTGTGTGCTCGCACGGGGCTGAACAAGGGAGTTGCACTGTGCCACTGGCCTGACTGTCGCGGGTCCAAGGTGTGAAATGTCATTCCCTTTCAGAAGGCTATTCAGTGTTAACCATGCTGTAAGGGTTATGGGTATTTTATTTTTACCACACTGGGAAAAAAATCAGCCCCTTAGTTTGTGTTACCTCCATGAGGCCCAGAGCTGGTGGGCTGAGCTGCTTTAACCTTCAACATGTCATTCAACATCTTGACTTGCCGTCTGCTGTGCTGCCACGTGCTGAAGCTTCATTTTAATGCAGCGTTTACTCGGAGGGCGCAGAACACTGCACAGAACCAATCTTGGCCTCCAGCAGGTCATGGGAAGACAACTGGCTTCTGTATGTTCCTGGGGAGCGTGGGGTGGCCCCAGCCCATGCTTTTAAGGCCATGAAGAGGATTCACCTACTGGAAATATGGTGATTCTGAGAAATGGGGCAGAGAGGAGTGACCGGATGGCTCTGAGCACTAGTAGTAACGCTAATCTCATGTCAGGGGATGCTCCCAGGTTGGGGTTTTCTGCAATAAGGTTCTCAGGGATGTGTTGTTGTACAGATCTGACTGTGGCATCTGTGGGGCTGGAGGACACTGGCATTTCTTGTTGTCTTCGAGCAAGCAATACCACTAGTGTGCCTCCTCCGCGAGGGGATAGTTAGAGGGGTGGTGTTAGAGAAGACAGATTTAGCATTCAGGTGTTCTTCCCTCTGTGATTCCAACTGAAAGAAACATTAGAGAGCTTTGGGCCAAATTTACTGCATTTGTAAAGTCTCATCAGAGTCATGAACATTGCAGCAGGGACTGCATTTCAGCAAGGATTAATTTTGATCTTCAGAGACATTGCAACAAAGCAGGAAAAACCATCAAGGAATTTAAAGCATTTTATGGTGGTTTTAACATTGTGGTTGCTAGTGCTCTAGCTAGTGCTTAGTTTAGCTATGGCTGGGAAATTCTTTCCATTTAACCCCTGTTCAAAAATACTTTTCTCAAAATAATGAATTGGTTTGGATCTCTTCCTGGAAGGCTTGATGGGGAAATAAAAAAGCTTCTTCCTCTCCTGGAGTGGTGAACAGCTGTACAAAATAGTACTCATGGCTTTAGGAAATACCTGCACGGCGTTATCTGCTAAAAATGTAGGGTTTAAAACTTGGCGTCAGTTGTGTTCCTCACAGAGAACTTCTCTTCAGGAAGGAACATCACCTTTCAGTCTAGGTGAGAGCAAGGCATTTTCTGTCAGCATCCAGCGTGGGAAGGCTTTGCACTGCTGCTCAGACAAAGAAATCATTGGGAGTTCAGCGAGTTCAGCAGAGCAAGGTAACTGCTTTACAAAATGAAGTAACATGAGGGCTTTTGTGTTGCCTTCAGCTCAAGGCCAGAGTTCTGGTGTGTTGGTGAAGTTGCTTAATCACGTTGTATGTTAACAGATCGCTAGCGTGGCTCTGTGGCAGGGATGGTTACCGCAGTCCTGACGTGAACATCCCTTCTTGTTTTGCAACCTAAGTGAGAGGTTTGGAGCGCAGATAAAGATAGGAAAAATGGCAGTGCTAAGCACAGCACCAGCTGCAAGGCAGCGATCTTTCTCTTGAGCCTGTTCTATAATCTCAGGCTTAGTGTAACTGTTGCGAGACATACAAGTGGTGGTTGCCTCACAAAATACTGCCAGAGAGCTTGAGTTGGGCAGGCAGAATGTCAGCGCAGAAGTTTGCTGTTGCTTTTGCCTTCTAAACATCTCCAGCACTGAACTGCAGTCTCCTCAGTTCAAGTCCTTTTTTGTATTTACAGACTGCTGAGACCAGGCATCTCCAGAAACAAGTGACGCGACATGCTCACTCTGACATAATGGAAAGCTAAAGAGAAATGGATTGCCATGACCATGAAAACTTATCATTGCTCTTAAAACTGTTTTAAATACTTAAACTGATTGGAGCAGTCCTGGATTTGTGAGTCAGATTTGCGCTGGTTTAATTTCCACAATAGATTACGATTTGTACAAGATTGAGGCTGCACTAGATAAACCATTTCCTGTAGCCTGTACTGAGCATTTTGCACAATATCCTATGGGAAAGGAACAAATCTTGTTTTGTCTGACAAATATATTTTCCTTAATGTCTCGGTGGTTTTGCGCTCTTTATTTTTACACTTAATTAAGTTTTCCTCTGTCATTTCAGTATTTCTAAGTACTGTCTGCTTTACAGTAGGATTTGCTAGCACTGGGGTTGGTCGTTGTTCCACCTGCAGAGTACAAGCGCTGAAAAATCAGGTTTCTTATTTCCTAAAGCAGCTAACAAACTGGGGAAAAAAAAGCCTATTAAAAAAAAACCTGCAACAAATACTAAAATACTTTCAGCCACACATTTCTGGTCACTTCAGTGTTTGTAAAATAAGTAACTTTTTGTTTACTTGTTTTGGCAATTACCAGCATTGCTTAACTCAAGACTGATTTCTTCTATGTGAATTTCTCAAGCCAGCATTCCAAAGCAGACTACAAAAGGAACTGGCTCCATCCTGCAGATGAAGAAACAGCATCAAAAAAAAAAAAAAAATTTAAGTGCCACAGGAATGGTTGTGTGACCAAGATGGCAGTTTCAGTGCTTTTCTCGTACATGTGAGTTGTCTTCACAATGTTCTCACAGCGATAGCTCAGCCCAGCCCCAGTGGTGTCGCTGTGTCACCATCTATCCCAGGTAAGGCATTTAAGGAAAAGGGGCATCAAAACTTTTCAGTTTCAGCCTTTCTTTGCAGCGCTGAGGAGTTAACAGCCGAGTTCATTAAGCAGCCTGTGTTGTAAGAGAGATGACAGTAAGTTATTCAAAACTAGTTTTGCTATTTTTCTTTTAAAGGCTCAGCAAAGAAGTCCATGAGACCAACAACCTTTAACTTGGGCAGGGCTGTCACCACCAGGGAGGCTCACACACCCACTGACTTGCTGTACCTCAAGTTCTCTTCAGTGAACTGAAGTTCACTTCTGTGAACAAATAGTCCAGTGATAGACTGTTCAGTGTATTTATTACACCAAATAATGAGCACATGTAGTATGTCAAGTATGGATTAAATCTGTTTCTCCAAATACCTTTTTTTTTTTTAACAAGAGAACAAGTGAAGTTAAGGAAAGGTTCATGTGATGTGGCTTCCCGATAATTCCAGTTTCGCCTGCTTTAGTGTGTTTCAGTTCTAACTTGAAGATGCTCTTTTTGGATAGTGAAAGGGATACAGTGTCACTGTACAGCAGCCATCTATGAATGACAAGAGGTGATGTCCAGCTGTCAGTGGTACAGGACTAGCAGCTGGGTAAGATAACTGCTGAGGCATGTCTCGCTGTAGGGTGCAGGCTATAGTACAAACTCCCTTTCTAAAAAGCAGTAGAGTCAGATAATTTTACTTGAGAACTTTTCCCCATACAAAAGAAAATTTAATCCCCTTGCTACCAGTGAAGACTAAGAACTAAGCAATATCTGTTTCGGCTTGCAGTGATTTGATTGACTCGTGTAGTACAGATTGGGTACGTAGCTTTTCCCCCCACAATGTATACTTGCACTTTCTCAAATATATCCAGCAGATTTTAAACACTTTATTTAATAAAAGTTAAACATACAAAACTGAAATTAACACACTTTGTAGTCATAAAAATCACCTTCTCCCATTATAGGGAGAACCTTTTTCTATGTATGGATTCTAAACTACCAGTTGTAGAGTTTAGCTTGAGTTGCGACTCAGGTAACTGATGGACATGTCCACCAATCAGTGCATCAACAATTGCTGACGTGACCTGATCTAGTTAACAAAATTACAAAATGAGCTACATTAACATAATATACAGGGAAATAATGGTCAGGGTTAATGGACAAGAAACACGCTTTAATTATTTAATGGGGGCAACAGCTGACAGACTCTTGTCCATTAACTCAGCCCTAGATTTTACAAAAATAATATCTACATTGTATACAGGGCTACCCATTAACTTCTTTAAACACATTACGGGTTCAGAGATGGCACCACTACCGTAAGTGAGAGACAAGTAACAGAGGAAAGCAAATCACATAAAATACAACAAAGCAAGAGCTTTTACACAGTTTCCTGAATGAAATTGAAGGGGCTCAGCAGCACTGTAATACAGCTGAAGTTACAATGAACAGTAGGTCCAGCCAGTTATTTAAGGACAGAAACTTCTGACTACCCTTTACTCACAGCTAAGTGGGATCTAGGCATTTGTATCTGCTGTGCTGCACTTGGACTGGACTGGATGGAGGAGGCCCACACACAAGCTGTGACTGTACCGTCAAGCCTACAAGATCTGCAAGAGGGGAGGTGATGGCTCCTTTCCAAAGCACGACCCCTGATCCTTGGGGAGGGGCGGGTAATGTTTAAATACAGTTCTCCTCTTTGAAACTGGAGTCTAAATACCTTGTCCTATGGTTTTCTGGTTACATTTCAATAACCGCCTATGAAACTTTTATGAGTATTTAAAAAAAAAAAAAAACACAAACAAAAAAACCAGTAGTATCTCCTCCGCTTCTAGCACAGGAAATTCAGACTGGAATTAAAGTCAGATTCATTGTTTCTAGCACATGAATCGTTAGGAGTAAAGATCCTATCAGCTCTCTTCTGCCCTCATTTACAGCTGTACAAATCAATCTTCAGTGGATTTGTAAAGGAGTAATTTAGAACTTCCTTAGCAATTCCATGTGACCTACAAGCTACGATGGAGTCTAGCTCTCTCTCTCCCAGAGCTGCGGGCAGCTCTGTAGTGCTAAGCTTGTCACTAGGACAGCAGACAACACTGTGACTACAGACACACGGGAGGCTGTTAAGGTGCCATTTTTATACCACCACCTTTCCTAAGGGAAAAAAGTCATTCACTACTACTATGAATGGAAGATTGCAGAGATGAAAGCTGCAGGTAACTACTGCTTTCGAAGTAATGGGTAACAGCAGTTCATGAAACCATTTACCTGCAAAATGGACTTCAATGCAACTACAAAATGTTTAATGATCAGGGGAGTCAAATCAATAGCTTGAGATTTAAGGCTCATATCAGCTGAAGCCAAAGTGATGGTGACAAAATGGACTAGTCTCTATGTGCCAACAAATAATTTACTTTTAGAAAAATATAATGATAAAAAGATAAGTGTAAAGCCCTGCAGAGATGAAGTTCCACCTTTTTCCCGTTACTGAGGCATCAAATGCCTGACATTGTATTTAGAGGTATCTTGATACTGTGTCATAGGTTTGTCTGCAATTCCACATGTTCCAACTCCAACCTTGCCAGTTACGCTCTCGGGGGAAGCAAAAATACTCCTCTTTACCTGCAAATGAAAGAGAAAACAGCATTTCTGAATAATTATTCACTGGCTTTTAAAAAACCAAGCCATCATTACTACCTGAAAAGTTTCAATATTCTCAACTTCTTACTCCATTTCTGCAGCTTAGCTGATCTGTGACACGTTATCAGCAGGTGAGATAACAGAGGTGGGAGCTTCCCGACACCTAAGCACTGGATGTGATAGTGGTACTCAGAACTTTGGGTCAGGCCAATAATGAATAAAATCCACCTTTCGTAGGATGATCTCTAGTAATTGCTCAAGTTTTACCACTATGGCAGCTCTTGGTCAAGCCATGATAAAAATGACATCAGTCTTTGAAGTGTCCCTGCCACTTTTTTTTTGCACTACGCTTGCTGTTCAAGGGCAGTTGCTTAGCATAGTGTCTGCCAGGTCACAAACACAGCAAGAAGTCAGTCTTGGAGCTTTAAACAGGCCCTGAGGCTCTAAGCTGTGACACATACTACATGGCAACTGACCGTGAGCCCAGCGCTCCAAGCTAAGTGCGAGCTCAGCCTCCTCTGAAATCGTACAGGCCAAACCCAGGCCTTTTAAGTGTACAAATACCAAACTGTACACTTCAGAATTCCAAAGATGAACTCCCTTTAAATCCCTTTAAAAAACCTCACTTCCTCCTCTCTCCCAAAGTACCGCACAAAAGTCTGGGCCCTGTTGTTCTTCACACAGAATTAGATCCCATTGATTAGATCCAACCAACCTGGCCTTTCTTGTTTTTAGAATAGGCTCTGTTGTTGAACTGTTGCCACTTGACTTTCTGGTCCTCTCGTTCCTGTTCAAGTTCTTTAATTCTCTGTGCTTTTTTCAATGCTTTCTTCTTTTTATACTCTCGTTGCTGGGCTATCATCTCTTTCCTAGAAAGAAGGAAAAAAGATATCTTATGTTTATGCCTTTTCCTGCAAGAAACTAAGACCCCTGTAAGACAGACACGCACTATAAGTAAATGACAGAAAACAAAGCTTGTAAATATTCTCTACTTGTAGAAAAAAACTACTAGTTTTTTCCATGCATAAGCATTACAGTGCTTATTTATGTATTTGGGCATAAGAACACCCACCACTTGTTTAAGACCACATCAAATGTAGTGACCCATGGGACTGCGTGCAATTAATTTTTTGAATGTACCTATCAGCACTCCTACATTTCAGAAATGTCTAGGGTTTGGAACACCTAAATAGCCCATTTGAATGAAAAGCTGAAACTTTTCTGGAGGTCTGCACAACTCTTATGCTACCAAGTAGTGGACAGGGATGGAAGGAAAAGAACAAAGATAAGTTACTTTAGTAAAGGTAAGTTCAAGGAGTGGATCTATGCCACAATGCAGCACCCCTCAGAACGATCCCTTAGGGAAGAGAACGTTGCCTGTAACAAACTCTGAAATTGTACCACCTTTCCCTCTCCTCAAAAGAAAACAAAAAGTGTTTTCAGCCCTAAAAATACCTTTCTATGCTAGACACAGCAGGACCTTAAGTAAAGCCCATCTCCCCAGCGATGGGGTCAACACAGGGATGGGGCAGAAGCCCTTCATACTGGTCAGTGCACTTGCTGGGAGCCAAATCACAGGTCTGAGAACATCCGGCACTAGACGTGGGCTGCAACATGTAGGCTCTCTGCTGTCTGTGAAAAAGTACTAACTTTTTTAATCTACCACTTACATACTTGATATCATGAGATAGCATAATCTGAGTGAAAACAAAGTCTATCATGTTATCTTGCTCAGGATATGTAACACTCATGATACCAGCCACAATAATCTACCAAACATTATAAACTAGATTGATTTAAGATCCTCTTTAAAGCAAACATGTAAAGATACTAAAGTGATGTAATTTTTTTTTAAAACAGAGATTCTATTTCATTAACCGATTTTAAAGCTGTGGGGAAAAAAAATCACTAAAAAAACCCAACAAAACCAAGACAGCAGCCTTCAGAGTTCTGCCTGTGTATCACTTACTTGGACATGGGTTTGTTGCCACTGTCCTCTTTTGCTTTTCTTCCCTCTTCCACAGGCTTGAGGTTGAACAGAGGTGTCACTTCAGCGTTGCCATATCCAGCAAATGTGATGGCAGCTGTTCCGTTCTCCTCATCTATCTCTTCGATCTCAGCTTCGTAACACCTGTAAAGATATCATGGCTGTAAGCATGTGAGTAAAGCTTTAATACTCAGCCCTTCCAACACCTACACTGTCAGCCAGCTAATGGCATTAAGTAAAAAAAATCCCAAATATCAGCCTTCATTTTCAGGGACAACATAAAAATCAAACTAAGAGATTATTTTCTTAAGGTCAAAGGGACACAAGTACAAAGACTGGAATCTGCTGTATTTGACCTTTAGCATCAAGAAGCAATGGCCTCACAGTTACCAAGACTAATGATTAATGCTGGGGCCAATCTAATCAGACACCCTGATTTTTCATTCTAGTTCTGGCAGGCCATGGGATTGAAAAAAAAGACCCAACAAAATACTGCATTCACAGAACACTGCTTTCAGGGAATTCAGTGAGGAGGTTTGGAAAATGTCAGCTCACAAGAGCAAAGCTTTGGTTCCATTTTTCTCCCTATGAAAAAGACTTAAAACTGAAGCTTTAAAAAAATACTCCCCCATCAACACTTAGAAAGTTACGAGTTTTCTTACTAATTCAGAACACCAATTTTGAAGTTTTAGCATAAATCATTCCATTTCATACTTACTTATATGAAACATTTTCCCATTATCAGATCAGTTTGACCAAAAAGAAAAAAATAAATGTGACATTTCAAAAAAAATTTTAAATAACTAGATTCTAAATTCAGAACAAAAGGATACATCTAAAGCAAATAGAGGAATAAAATGAGATGTTTCGCAGACAATACTCCAGTTAACATTTACTAAATTAATGTCATAGAATGGCCTAAGCTGGAAGGGACCTTAGAGATCATTTTAATCCAGCCTCTCTGCCACCAGGGACGCCACCTCTCAATGTCTTGTACAATTTTAGTGGGCCAGCATCATCTTGAGTTGAGCTCACTGAAAATACACTGAAACAAAAACTGCATGAGGAAGAAAACCTACTGATCTCCAGCTAGCTCTTCGTGAAACACTGTTCACTTAAATGTTGCAACAGAAAGCAGGGTTTTTGTTTGGAGGTTGGTTTGTGGTGGTTTATTTTCTTAAAAAAAAAAAAAAAGCAATAAAGTCTAATAAGATCCACTTCAGTGGACACTCTGGCACTTCCTCAAGCTCTGATCCTCTAACTCAGCAATCAGAACAAGGAGAAATGACCCAATTCTGACCTAAGACAGTAAGATTAAATTTTTAAATTCTTACACAAAGGCATTTTACTGATTTATAATCTGTGACAGAAAAACTGCTCATTTTTAGGTTTGTTTTCACCTAAGACATCAACAGCCATACCAAAATCTTAGTGTGGTTACTACATTGTTAACAGAACCACTTTCACTGAACAACAGAGCATCTAAGTGGTAACAACTGGGATATTAGGCCTGCATAAATAGTAATTTTTCAAAAGTCGCAACAGTTACACATTTTGCAGAACGGAAAGTAATTCTAGAATGTTTATTTCAAAGATTATGAAGTCAGAATGAACTGCTTATGTCCCCAGAACTTCACAAGCTAATGTAATGGAGACTAAATCCAAAAGGTTGATTGATTTCATAGTTGTATTACAGAGCTAGTTATTTCATAGCCAAACCCCAGCATTTCCAATTAAAAATTAATTTTGAAGCAGAAGCACAAGCTAAGCTACAGGAAAGATTTTTCTGGATAGCAATCAATAACATATATATGAATGCAATGACAAATTATGAATTATACATCCCAAAACCTTTACGAAAGACTGCTCTGATGGATCAATTCATGACAGTCTGCCACTTACTACGTTAACAAATGGTAATTTACCAAAGCTACCCTACTTTTATAAGGTTAGTGACGAACAGGGCATTTCTATAAAATGACCCCACATCTCTCTGGGTTTTTATCTAAAATACTGACCTTTAATAAAGAGAGTAAAAGAATCACTAATACCATATTTATTTCCCAATTTCTTTTTGCTCTTAGTCACCCTAGAGGCAGTTCAAACTGAATGAAAGTCTCTTACCATTGAACTATTTCATGTAACTGTTAGAGAAGTTTTCTACACTTACTGTCCATCCTCACTCCATATTGCCATACACCTATCCCCAACCTTCCAGGAGTGACTGGGCAGAGCAGAAGCAGAACTGTCAGAACTTGCAAGAGTTTCTGAAGGTTGTGTTGAAAGGAGATCTTTGGTTAATTCTATGACTTCCTATAAAAGACAAAAAAACCACAAAGAATAATTTTTCAAACTCTGTTACCATGCATATTTTTACCCCAAGCTTACTGGTTTGGTTTCTTTGAAGTTACTGTATTAAATTCACAGCTGATACAAAGTGGATAAATTTGGTTTGTTTTTTTAATCACTTAACGAAACTCATCACTAGCATAGATAAAAATTTGTATGGTCCTCACTGTATTAAAGTTGCCTGTGCCCTCCTCAAACTTCCAGAAGGAATCTATTATTTTTATAGCATTTCTTTCTAGATTGTTTATCCATAGACACAAAGACACAGCTAGATAATCTCGATTAAAAAAAATACCAACAGTGTGACTCTGTGCACATGGCTGCACGTGATGTTGGTTACTGACCAAAAATCACACATGTGGCAGAGCAAGTATTCAACACAACAGCACTCTGAAGACAAAGCATGAAGGGACGTAACACCTCTGTTCTCTCTGTAGCTGGCAGTTTCTTCCATCCCTTCACCTTTGGGACTGGGCTGGTTATTTTATATGTAGTAATCTCTAAAACACACAGCAACTACAACTGCAGCATTGCTAAGTGATTAAACACTTTTCATTTTACTCAAAAAACATGTGGATTGGCTGTACTGAGGCACCAAGAGCCGGGGTGAAAAGCACCTTCCATGACTGCTGCTCAGTAAAGCATTCAGGTGCACACTAAAGAAATTGATTTCCTTAGATCATTTTCATACAAGTGTTTGTTTCTCTCTAAATTCCCTGACCTGAAGATTTCAGGTTGGGCCTTCCTTTGCTAGTCTAAAGAGACAATAAGATTTTTTTTTTCTAGTTCCTTTAAATATTGTTGATTCACAGTCAGAGGCATGCCCCACCCCAACTTCTGTCAATATTATATTCTTATTCTGCACACTCAAGACCACTGGTTTTCACTAGTGTTAGAAATCAAAGGAGCCAGCACCTAAAAGCCCATTTAAGCTTTCTGTATAAGGCAAAGCAACTCTGCAGTCCTTCTGTTCTTTGAGTATCTCAGCATGAATCATTATCTCTCTCTTAACAGTAAATGTTTCAGTTAGGGGAGGGTTAGAGATAAACAACATTAAGCTGAGGCTCAGTGGAACCTGAACTTTCCTCCCAGTTTCTCATCCTAGTTCAGCTATGGGGGTTGCAAAGACTGGCTCAGGAAAAAGTGGTAAAGAAGCTGTTCCTCATTCTGTAACGCCCTGGATGACCATAAGCAGTTCCCAAATAAGAAGTAATACAATATTGTTACATGCGTTTTTATCTCAAACTATAGAACTGGCATGAATGGCCTAACAGCTTGTTCCTGTTGCAGCAGTTTATGCCTGAATTTCCAACACTCCCCTAACAAAACTTATGCTCTTTGTTTTAGAGGAGTTGCTGGTTATTAAGTGCAACAGTAAGCACCATCAGCAGCCAACTGTAAGCACAGAGACGTGCAATTACTTCTACTACTTTGGTTTCCGTTTTCTGTAATGCTACAGCTGAACGAGAACAGATTTTGATTATCAAGTTACCTAATTTGAGTGCGCTCTGCAGAACACAGAGCATTAGCCTCATTTTCCATCTTAGGTGCAAAATCCCAACTATTCCTCAACAGCTGTATTCTGCAAATCCAAGAGGCATCATGGTTTGAAACAGGTATGTTCTCTCAGCAGATCACGCATAATGCATCAGGCACGTGCTACCTGAGAGTAGGCGTTTCAGCTATGGAGACCACCAGTAACACCAAACTGACGACTTATTCGTGCCACATTCCTAGATGGCTTATTGTAGAACTCAAGCATGAACAGTTTCAAGAAAAGTCTACCAATGATACTTTGAATTTGATAAAGTCACTTAAACAGCAGGCTACAAACAGCAAACTTCTGATAAGAACCTTCATATGAGATCCCTGTTTCATAGTACTTAGCACACAAGATAGAAACATTAATTTTATTGCAGCCCACAAGATAGTTCCAAGGTATTTAACAGAATAGCTCATTCAAAGAAGATTTCTGAGCACGAGCTAGATGACCACAGCAGCTCAGTACAGCCAAGTGACCTGAACAGCACGCCCTGCTGCCACATCCCCGTGACAGGGAAGTGTGAGCAGCAGAGAATAGTCGTTAGATTTTGCCAAGATTTTTCCTGACCAGCTGGTATTTACAAAGCCAGACAGCGTGCTCTACACTGCAGAACACAATGCCCACAGGTACCATCTCCTACTACAGATGACAGCTGCCACCAATTCTTTTTGTTACAAAAGGTTAAGTTTGGTTCTTGGGTGCACAGACACTGCCTTAGAAGTGCTTCAGTGAAACAAAAAGTGAAAAGCAAAGTTATTTCTAAAAATTTCTTCTAGTATTTATTTTAATTTTGTTACTCAGGAATAAGCAAAGTGTATGAAAGGCACTAGTGCATCACTACTACAGAAAGAAAAAAGTTTCAATTACATACTAACCATCTTTTTGAACAAAAAGCTGCTCGGATGGGACACTGACGCATTGCACCCATTTTTGTAATTGTTTGGCATATATTAAGGCTGCAAAACATTATGTCATTTTCAAGGTGGAACATATGGATAGCAAACCTTTTGGGGACGAAAGTGTAAAGATCTTCCCCATTCTGTGCAGAAAGCTTTTATTAAAAAGTTTGCAAGTTGTCCTTTCACATCAATGATCTCTGCATATCAAAGCCGAGGTCGTGTTGGTATCGGAAATATCATCCCATATGGGTTTTGCTGCGCATTTTAAAAATATAAAAATATACACATGCTTTTAACAGTGTACAATGAAGGACATTAAGATGATCTATAAAGTGCCTTGTGGGCACAAAGCCTCTGTAATTTAAAAGTAATTCTACGGATCACTGGTTTGAGGCACTGCTTGTATTTTGATTGAAGTATCATTTTTACTGCTGTTATTTCCATTTTCCATGCAGAATAGTGGTTACTGAATCTTGTATTGGGTGGTTTTGTATTTTTTTTAGATCTAAGGGCTAAAGCAATCACCACAAAAATGAAGCAGCATCTTGCACTCTCATGACAAATTTTAACAGTACTGCCGTTCTGGTGGGGTTTTTTATATGCCAACGTGTCTTTATAGGCACAAGAATCTAGAAGACCACTTATCAAGATAAACTAGGCTGGTGGTCATGCCGTCACCAAATAGCACCCTAAGGATCAGAAATTGTTTTTAGCTTTTAAGAATGCAGCATGCTTGCAAATGTTTAAAAAACTGCACGTGGCAAATGAAAAACACAACTCTTTTCCTTTCTTATAAAAAAACCTTAACACAATCCACATACCAGGAATAGTAAGTTATATTCCAAATTTTTTTTATTGCAGATCCTGGATCAAATTATTTGGTAACTCAAAAATAAGCAAAAAGGCATAATGTTAAGTCCAACCATCAAGCTTTGGTGTAGTAAAAGGAACAAAAAATAACTACTTTCTGAGAAACACTTTTAAAAAAATAAAGAGAAACAGTAAAGACAGCACTGGCATATCTTCTGTCACTCTGGCTAAAGTTTTTAGCAGAAGAGTTTGCTATAAAAATTAGTGCATCCTTTTTGCTGATCTACAAGACAGGTTCAAAGTAGGCCACATTGTTTTTCTTCCAAATCCATCCTATCACTTGTATCAATTTACATGAAAACAAAGTAATAAACCCACCAAGTATATATCTTTGTTGCCATGCAAAGAGGTAATATGAAACACCTGCTAAAGAGCCTGAAGTTTCAGCTACTCACACTCTCAAGTCCTCACCTGTAAATCTTTCTTCAGTTTTAGTAAATCTTCATTTTCCGCATTCCCAGATAAGGCAGCCTCAACTTGCTGAAGCTGAGCTTTGTAGCTAGCTAACTGCTTAGCGAGGTCTTCTGACATCTGCAAAACACACACACATCAAAACAGGCTCGATCGGCGCTTTTTAATTCAATCTTGTGGAGCAAGTACAGTGAAACTGATAAATAACACGAAGAGCTATTACTGAAATATTAAAAATACAATTAAGTTTCAATAACGCACTATTTGACTACAGATTGCCACTCACCTCACTTTTGTGCTTTTTAACTACTCCCAAGCAATTTCTGAAAAAAAAAGCTTAAACACGTGCCTGCCGGCCCTCAGGGGGAACACGCGA